ACCCATATATTCACATGCATAAACATTACATTTTTGATTACCAATTTTAATATGTCCATCTTCCTGAAATAGCTTCAGCAGGTGATAGCTCAGGCTGACCTTCTTTGGGCCTGGAAATTAAACAGGTTCAGGCCTGGGTAAAACTTGGGTGAGAAACTACCAAGAAATACTAGGCTGTCCTTTTGCCAGGAAAATGGCATAGACATGTCAGTGGAGTCACCAGCAGCTGGGCTCAATGCAACAGATTTTACCTTTATCTTCCCTTGTTTCCAGTCAAATGTCTCAATTCCTCTGAGATTTGGTTTCTACCATGAAATACCTCATGGATCCAGACTGCTCTCTTCACAAAGTGGTTTGGGAATTGTAGCCAATCTGAAGATGTATTGATCCAAGAATTAAATATTGACCCAGACAAATTTACAATCAATTCTCATTACAGTAGTCAAGTTAAGGATGAGATTTTCAAAGGCAAAAGGACAAAAAGAAACCGAATCACAGAAAAATTGGATAAAATCTATAGCTTGATTGAATTGCAAGATTAGTTGAAGCTGTCCTCAGAGGAAGGTTGCCAAATTTAACTTTGACTGGATTGATGCCATAGGAACAGCTTCAGTTGGCAAACTCAGAATGTTTTATAATCATGAACTGAGGCAAATGTTAAATTTAGATTTTCAAGCCTGCATGCTTAAAGCTGAGCTAAATTGCAATTTTGAAATTTGCACTTTTCATAAAACTTGCATTTCAATAGGGAAGGAAAGAACACTGTTTGTATACATTTGCAACGTTGTATCCCTTTAAGAATAAACCATATAATCTGGTATTATTTAATGTGAGAAACTGTCAACAGATTTTAAATCTTTACCAGAGACATCTATTAGGACCCGATTTATATTTGTTATAAGTCCTTGTTTAATCTAAGCTTTCTCCCAAATGAGAGTGGCTGATCAGGAAAAAGCCCTCTCATAGGCAATATCCCAAGGATGAATTGCCTTCCACAGAGAAGCTGCCTTGTTGTAAATATCTGGACCTTCACAGGCTGAATCCAGATTTAGGCAAAACTGGAGTTGCCCAGCTGAAATCAATTAGACTTCAGTTAGCCTGGAAGGCTTTTTACTTCCAGTGACCTTATTTGTTTAAATTCATACTCCATCCTTCTACTTAAATGAATTCTCAAGATGACTAATAATAATTTAAATAATAGATTACAAAATGGCATAGAATATACATTAAAATTAATAGTGAACTAATGAACAGCTGAGAGCCTAGCAAACAAGATGTATCTCTCCAGATTTCCTAAAACAGAGAGAGTGGCAGACAAAGTCTGAGAAGGTCCCATCCCATGTCACCAGATCAGTTGGTGGCAGCCAAAGACAGAACCTTAAGGAGTGATGGGGTTCATGCAAAGAAAGACGTTCTGTCAAGTAGACTAGCCACAGCTACGGGGCTTTAATAACAGCACTTTGCATTTCACTCAGAAGCCTTTGGGCAGCCAATATTTAAGAGCAGGCCCTTTCAAAATAGCCTTTTCAAGGATCTACATCAACCAAACCAGTGGCTACATTCTTAACGCACAGTCTGAACATAAAGACAGTCCTTAATTAAAAAAAATAAAGGAGATTATCTTGTGAGTTTTCAGCATTTTAAAAAATTGTATGTTGGTACCCATCCCATACACTACCTGCAGTCCTCTCATGGGCCATCAGTAGCCTTTGGGCCAAAGGTTGGAAATGACTGGTTTAGATTTTATGCCATTTGGCAGTTATAGTCCTAGTTCTAATTATGCCAAGATCCTATCTTGATCATCTGACCAAATAATAATATCACTTGTACAATAAGTACTAATGGTCTTCCCTTAGAAAGGCAGACAGAATCTTTCTCCCTAATGTTCTTCAGTGGATGACAGAAAAACATTTTGCAGAGCTGTTTTTCTTTATCCGTCCTTCCACATTTTTTTATGCATGATGTCCTGTGCCTTAGACAAAAAAGAGGGTTTAATTTCTATTTTGTGTACCTTTAAAATATTTGAAAATGACTGCTTCACTTTTCTATTTTTTTTCATGCACACTAGACTATTTCTTTCAATCTTTCCTTGTATGTCATTTACTCTAAATCCTTTGATCATATTCACAACTCATATTGAAAGCTTTCTGTTCTTTTGTTCTTATTAGAACTAAATTCTGGGTATTCAGCAGTTCAAATAAGATTGGTCTCTTGATACTGCACAGAACATACCTGTAAAAATGCATATGACTGGCTTTACACATTTCAATAAGCTATGTTTTACTTTTGACTTAGCGTATTGAGTGAACCCATACATTAGGGTGGTAAGCTATGATTTACAGTTTAGTATATTGTATGAATTCAGTCTGTAATGCAACAGATCAGTTAAGCAAACTATGGTTAATATGTGTGAACCCAATAGCAGAATATATCTAGTTTGAAACAATGTCCTTACCCATATACACAAACCAAGGCATCATTTAGGAATGAAGATTATATGCACATCCTGGTTAATGTGCATGTGATCTTTGAGAGTTTGTATTCACAAAACACATTCTTTTAAACTGCTTTTGATACTGGAGGAGGCTTGAATTAAAAATGAAAGAACAAAACTAATAGTATCACAGAATCTAAGATGATGGCTATACAGAATCTACTGTGATCAGAGGCAGTATTCCATTAAGTACAACTTGCTTGAAAAGACCTACTAGCTTTGGGTCCTAACTATGAGCTTCCCAGAGGGATCTGTTTAGCTACTCTGGAAAACAGGATGTTGGATTAAAAAAAGCTTTTGGCCTATCCTTATACATTTAAGGGAAACTATCCAAAGGAACCATTTACCATTAATACAATTCAGAAATTTATTTGCTGAAGCCTAGGACTGAATAATTGGTAGTTATCCATATAATCGTAAAAATATCCATGCACAATAAATTAAGCTAAGGCATAGTAAGTTGCCTAAGGCCAGCAAGGGATTGCAGGGTTGAGCAATTATTTCAATCAAGATGTGCTTGATAACCTTAATCCAACTCTTTCTGTTACGTCATGCTGAATCTCAATTTACAAAATAATTTTGAAGGGCTTCACCAGTTTGATCCAATGCTGCTCATTTTAATCAATGATCGTACATTTGGGGGATTGTGGAAACAAAGGATATATTTAGTCGAAACCTTGGACATTCAAAGAAATGGAAGTAAAATGTATACTTTTAAAAAAATGATAGATAGGTCCATAGGTAGACCAACAGGAGCAGCAGCAATAGTGGCAAGAAAAAATAATCACAGTGATGTTTGCTAGAGGGTCTGTGGATGAATGGCAGACTTTGTGAACTTATGCGAAGCAGTTGCAAGTGCTCTGAGGAAAGACTGGTCAGATTCAGATCCTGACATATCCAGGTAGGGCTAAGAAAATTCCTTCTTGGTATCACAGATAGCGCTCTAGTCAATATTGACAACACTGAGCTATTATAAGGCACTCCTTATTAAGCAACTTCCTATGATCCTATAGTGGCTGTCTTTAAACTAGTCTCTTCCAGATAAGTTGGGATTAAAATGGTCAGAATTCCTAGCCATCATGGTCAATTCCCATTTTGAGAGTGCAGTTTTACTGTATCTGGATGGTGAGGTGAAGCTATTTTAGAGTTCATAAACAAAACTGCATAATAGAAATTGGTAGGCATTTCCAACTACTGTAATATTGCTGAAAGGCTGCCATAAACAGAGGGCTCCCTATAACAAGGGAACATAGTTGCCTGGTCCATAATTTTGCATTTATTCACTCTCTGAGTTAATTACAAACCCCATGGGGAGCACTGCTCAGCATCAGAGCCCATGATGTTCAGTCTGATGCAGCATAAGCAGCATGTGTTTTGTACATAAGTTAATCATTCCACACTGATATTGTTGAAGACACTACACAGTAACAACATCCTGTCAGAACACTTTTTAATGAGAAAAAAAAAATCAAAACATTTTCACTGGTGCCTTTTATTAAGTAATGCAAAATACAGTACTAGTTATGACACTCCATGCAGTTGAGACGATATAAATGCAAGCTTACAGAAAAATAAGTGACCAAAGAACCCCTCAATTAATTTTGAGGTAGCGTACAGTGTGGGGAAATTGAAACACAATGGGACAGACAAACCAAAATATCTGTATCACTTTGTGCATTCATTATTCCCCAGGTTTTTTTTTTTACTCCTAAATACATTTGTATTAAATAACTTTGTGGGTTGTTTTGATTCCATTTCATCTAAAAAATAGATTTCTTTATAATATCACATTCTTGTATATCTTGCACTGCACACAATCCACATTTTAAAATAATCTTATAGGGTCTGATTTGTCCTTGCAAAAAGGTTTTTCCCTTCTCTTTCTTGCTCCTGCTTTCTCTTTTAACCTTTTCCTCCAAGAGTTTAGGCACGTGTGGCCTCATGCACAAAAAATAAATAAGAAACCTACTTGAAGGGGACAAAAAATGTCACTCAAAGTGCTTGAGAGTACTAAGGATAATCTAATAAATACCATTTTGTTTATAAAAATATATTAGGTTATAAAAGTGGGCAAAGGGTTAGTATCCAAGATGGAAAAGTCATTATGTGAAAAGTGTCTTGTAATATTTTTCTTTTCTTTTATCAGGCTTCTATTTTTTTCTGTTTAAAACAGTACCATTGTGACTGTGTGTATGTGTATCTCTCTCTTTCTCTGTGTGTGTGTGTATGTGTGTGTGTGTATACACACACACAGTATACACACACACACACACACACACACACACAGTTTCTCAGAAACATACAAGATGCTGGAAGTGTCAAATGTCATCGTAGTTGCTGTTGTTCTATCTCCTTATTGCAGCTCTTTTATCAGGCTTCTATTTTTTTCTGTTTAAAACAGTACCATTGTGACTGTGTGTATGTGTATCTCTCTCTTTCTCTGTGTGTGTGTGTATGTGTGTGTGTGTATACACACACACAGTATACACACACACACACACACACACACACACAGAGTTTCTCAGAAACCTACAAGATGCTGGAAGTGTCAAATGTCATCGTAGTTGCTGTTGTTCTATCTCCTTATTGCAGCTTTGGAAGATGTTTCAATTAAGGAGGGTTCCATACAATTGTGCTTTTGTGAGGCTGTCCTTTCGACTCAAGCCTGTACTTCCAGTCCGTTGAAATTGCTGCTGCTTGCTATGGAGGCTTGAATGGCTTCCTTGCTCAATGGAAGACTGATGGATCTCTGAAGCCTCCATAGAACTCTGGTTGAGAGATTCAGCTGAGCTGTTTGGACTAACGTCAACATATTCTCTTTTCAACACAGGACTCCCATCAATGCTTTTGCTACTGCACACTTGGACTGTGATTCTTTCACCTTTTTTGTCCCTCAGTTCTTTCGTTTTATAAGAGGACAATTTGTCCTGCTTACAACTGGTACTTATGTCAATATTCAGACCACTGTCTGTCCTCAGGAAGCAAGAGTCCACAAGTCCACTTTGACAAATATCATCTCCCTCTGAGAAGCTATCACCTTTGTAACTAGCATAAATGGGACTTGACCGACTGTCTCCTTTTTTTATAGGACTTCTGTAATACTGCTCTGAAAAGCTGCAGGGTGAGAGCCTGCCACTGTTCCTGTAAGAATATGCACCAATATCTTCCACACTAAGTTGTCTCCACTGTCCAGGTAGGTCGTCTTCTGACAAATGGGTGTTCCTGCATTCACTGCGCATCTTCTGTGATGCTAAAGCTTGTTGAGTTGTTATGGCAGAGAAATGATAAGGCTCGCTTGCATAAGGTGACATAGTCCTAGTGAAAGTAGGGGAGTTCTCATTGTCATCTGCCAGCTCCATGTGCTGAATAGATTTAGCCTTGGCAAACCTTGGACTCCCCTGGTCATAACCTGAAGATGGCTTTCTTTCAAACATCTCATCACGGCTGCTCAGGTAAATGGCTTGCTGGGAGGCTGTCAAAGTGCTAGCTTGGGCATTCTCCTTCTCCTCAGAAGTTACACTAAAGCTGGAGTAGGAGCTAGAAGTAGGTAGAGAGGTAACATATTCTGGGAAAGCTTCATGAGAGAAGCTAGAATGGAAGCCATCTTCTTCAACTGTGCTGTCAGTGGAATTCTGGGACCTCAAGAACCCAACACCCTTTACTTGCATGTCTACACTCTGCCTTCTCTCCCGCCTTCTTTCCTCAGGGCAGTAAAGAGCTGTATCACTGCAATAAATGTCAGACTTGTACTGAGGTCTTTGGCCAAGTTTTCCAACAGATTCCTGAAAGGCAAGATCTCTGCTTGATGGTCTTGACATGTGGGGAGAAAGGCTATTTGGGTCAGGCTTTTCCAGAACTTTTGCAATGACGCAAGTTGGTATGTTATCAGCAAATGATGTATGACACAGGGGTACCGAGAGGCTGCATCCATGCTTTTCTAGATGGATGCTGACACGTTCCTGAAATTCAGCTGGCAGCTGTAATAAATGTGGGGAAGGAGAAGAAAAATATATGAAAGGGTTGTCAACAGTATAGCTTATGATCTAGAAATCCCAGTTATTGAAGCCTACAAATGTGACTCTTAAAGTGAAAGCAAGCAAATAATAAATAAAAAAGCTCCTATCATGAATGAAGTATTAACTCAGACGTGCAAACATGGCAGATTGCCCTAGCTGACTAAAAGAGTTAGCTATTTGTTATGTGCTGTCCTGCTTCATAGAGGTAGAATGTTCAACATTCAGATATTGAAATATATGAACATCCTCCCCTTCTTTGTCCTTTTTTGATTCATGTCCATTAACCAATATATTAACACATCAATTACTGTTAAATAAGGAAAACACATTTGCAAATTAACAATCAATATTAATCTTGAGGACTGCAGGTTGTATTTTCACTTACTTCCACTGTCAAAATAAGCTTGTAGCTCCCATGATATAAAGCTATTTCCCACTGACATGATTGTACACAGTAGTTTCAAGCCAGGCTGAAGTAGCTACTTAAGGGCAAAAACAGCCCTTCTTATTCCACTGGCAGAAGCTGACTGGGCTCACAACGGAACCTTGTTTTTAGTACCAGTGAAGTAGCAGACAAGCTCTGGGCACATAGGAAAGGCTGTGTGGTGGCCTGGGCAGTTCTGTCCTCAATTGGATACTTAAAAGAAGCAGCCAGGAGGCTCCTACTGCAACCTGAAGTGTCCCTTTCCCTAACAATGAGGCAAGCCCAGACTGTTGGACTCAGCAGTGGCTCTGAACACAAAGTCCAAGTGGCAAGAATAAGTCTTTGGTACAGCTGTACTACAATAAGGCCACATGTAACTTTCAAGAAAAAGTCTTCATTCCAGAACAACTATAAATCAACAGGGCAGAGGTCTATGGTAGCTGGATCTTCTTGTAAAGAAGCTTTTTGCGAGTGGGATGTGCTAATGGAATTGAGTTCTAGAGAAATGCATTCATCTTGATAATCAGTCACTGTCAACATAAAGACAAGTTACAACACTCAGCAAAGAAAGTAAATTTAAAAAAAAAATGTTGATATGGCCATGCTTTGTTATAAAATAACTCAATGTCCCTGATCTCCCCCAAAGCTCAATCTTGTGGTATACGAACATCTGCAACATAGCAGAATGCACTTCACATGCACTGCAACCATATCCTTCTTAGGCTATGAAGCCATGAAAGCAGCTGTTCTCATTTTCTCAGCTGTAATGAAGAAAGGGATAGTACCCAGGGACACAAATATGCAACCTGAAAGCTGATTTATGGCCCAGAAGGGCCCCCAAAGACTCCCATATTTATTTTTTGTGAGTCCACAAAACTAAGTCTGCAGTCCTACAAATAGTTTTGCTTGGAGAAAGCACCACTGGTCCCAGTGAGACTTCCTGCCTGGCACACAGACATAAAACGGTGTGGCTTTTGGATTGTTTTCAGGATTAATTTGTGCAGGAGGTCTATCCAGGGGATTATGCTAGCAGTTAGACAGCAAATAATATTGACTTGGGATGCATAGCTTTATTGATGTGAGTTTTTTTTTTTCTTTGATTAGATTCCACGGCTGTACTAGATCTCACTAGTGATGCCCTGACTTCAGCAGTGGGGTAAAAAGCCTCCCTTGGGCAAGTTTAACTCCTGGCAGCTTCATGAATAGGTACATATAGTTTCCTTGGCAACAATAATGGGTGTGGTTTGCCACTGCCTTTCCCCTGGGATGATTTTTCCAATTCCCAGGTTGGCCCATAGCTTTGGGATTTTTCCTGTGGTGTGCCATCCAGGTACTAATCAAGTCTTTTTCTTTTTCTTTCTTTCTTTTTTGAGATCAGTCAAGATTGACATTTTTGTACCCATCCCCTCTTTTGTATTTGTGGAAACTATCAGTGCAAAACTGCCTGAAGCTTTAGATTTGGAAGGATTTTAGGATTATAAAAGAGTTGCAATAAGCCACAAAACTGAAATTTAAGATACTGATTTAGCAACTTAAAACTTCCCCTACCTACCCAAAAGGGTTGAAAACCTTGATTCTGTCTAATTAGAAGGTGCTTTGGGTGCCAGAAGAGGGCACGAAGTGGTCATATGTGGCCTGTGACCAAATGTGTGTCCTAGGCCATGACTTCACAAAACACTGGAGCTCTACAAAAATTGGTAGCTGTGCATATACATAGTTTCTTCTAGTACACAACATAGCAGTTATTAACATAATCCATAGGAACCTGTTATTACAGTCCTTTAACTAAAAATGGAAGGCATTAAAAAAGCACCATTATAGTTTTATATCAGTTCTATCTGGAACTTTAGTAGCCAGATTTCCTTTATATAAGAAAAGGAGAGGTGCTATTAGAAGGCCTTCCTCTTATTAAAAACAACTGATTTGTGATTTAATAGCTATTTAGAATCATTCACATCTTTGTTAAACTTCTTGCTATCTATACCCAGAGATAGTACATTGTGAAACAGCAGGAAGAGATCAGGCTGGCATCAAAGCAAGTCAATTTTCCAGTATTGCGGTGACATCAAATACTTAATACTTAACACATGCTCTTGTGTTATTTGCTATTTTCTATATTGAATCTTACATTAAAAATACACTTAGGGGCTGAGGCTGGTAGTGTAATAGGGGAGTACAGCTCTACTATTTTTTCAGAGTGAGAGAGTCAGGGTTACTGATGAATCTGCTTTGGTAGGTGAATAAGATGAAAATAAAGCTTTCAATATTTATTCATCTTTGCAGAGTAGAAGTCAGACTGAGGAAAAGATTGAAGCAGAGGCTGGATTCTTCTTTCTTTTTTTATGATGTTACCGTATCACTTTAACATTTGAAATAGAACTACTTCTTTGTAACATTGTTAGCTTTTCATTAGCTGAAGGATTTTTGGTGAAACTAAATATGTTTGTGACTCCTGATGAAGTGGACAGGGTCTTCCAGACTGTGAAGTTGGCCGCTCGTTTATTAGATCCAGGCCCCACCTGGGTGTTTAAAGCTGCTTGGGACAGTTGGGTCCATGCAATGGTATTGACTTCTTTGAAAGAGGAGGTGGTCCCTTTGGCTCTGAAGGAGGTGGTGGCATGCCCCCTCCTTAAGAAGCCATCACTGGACCCAACAATCCTGGAGAACTTTTGTCCCAACCCCAACCTTCCCATTTTAGGAAAGGCTGTTGGAAAAGTGATTGGGCAATGGCTCCAGAAATCCTGGAGGCAATGGATTATCTGGATCTGTTTCAGTCAGGTTTCAGGCTGGGATACAGTACTGAGACAACATTTGTCACGCTTCTTGATGACTTTTGACAGAGCTGGGATGTGGGTGATGCATCTTGCATTCTGCTCCATGATCTCTCAGCAGCTATCCTTCTGGACTGGCTGCAGGAACTGGGAGAGTTATGGTGGTTCTCTTCCTTTTTCTGTGGTCAGTTCCCATTAGTCTTGATGGAGGAGGGAGAGATCGAGTCTGTTGCCCCTCACTTGTGGGATGCTGCAGCGCTCAAAACTTTCCCACTACCATTCAACATCTACATTAAGCCATTGTGCATCTTCTCCCTGGACCATCCATGTTGCTGCTGTGTTCTGTCCCAGTATTTGGAGGCTGTCCAGATCTGGATGGGGAGGAACAGACTTAGGCTCAATTCTGACAAGACCAAGTGACTGTGGATATTCAGGCCCTCTGGTCCTGGGAAGCTTCCTCTCTCGTCTTGGATAGGGCAGCCTATCCCCATCTGAGAATGGTATACAATCTGGTGCTTTCACAACTTCTGGTCAAGGAGCAGGTGGCAGCTGTGCCAAGTGCGCCTTCACACAGATCCATTTAGTACACTGATTGCACCTGTCCTCAGTCAGGAGGCCCTTCAGATGATCACTCATGACCTTGTCATCTCATGACTGCACTATTGCAATACACTCGACATGGGACTGCCCTTGAAAACCATTTAGAAGTACAACTGATCCAGTATATGGCAGTGTGGGCAGTAATGGGCATGCCATGATATGCCCATGGGATACCACTGTTACATGAGCTGCACTGTTTGCCAGTTGGGTTTCAGGTACAATTCAAACTATTGGTTACCACCTATAAAGCCCTCCAGGGCATAGGGCCTGGTTATCTGAGAGACTGCTGATGGCTGATCACCAATTGTTTCTGCCTGTCCTGTAAAATATGGCAGAGTGGGTATGCTTCATGTTCCCTCAGTTAAATAATGTCATCCAGTGTGCTTTCTCTGTTGCAGTGCTGCCCTGAGGAACAGCATACTCCCAGAGATCCATACAGCTCCCACCCTGATGAAGTTCTATAAGGCATTGAAAACATGGCTATTTTCTCTGGCTTTGCGACAAGGTGGTGAGTGAGCCCCTGTAAGTGTTTATTTGGTATGATTTTGTTTTGTTGTATTTAGTCTTTCCAGATACATATCATCTTTCTTTCTTTCTCTCTCTTTCTTTCTTTCTTTCTTTCTTTCTTTCTTTCTTTCTTTCTTTCTTTCTTTCTT